GTTACTAGTTTCGTGAAAGGACGGAGGAAAGTGGGAGTTTGCGGTTGCCACGCCCACTGGCGAGCCGCAACCTCATCATCTGCGCCTTCTCGAATCCACTGGTTAACCGTCTTTTGGCCCGTGAGCTGTAATCAACTTACTGCCAACCGATTTTAGTTGAATGTGGGAAGAATAAGGGGGAAAAACATGAAGGGTATACAAAAGAGCTTTAAGATAACTATGAAACGCAATAAAGCTACTGATCCCCCGATTTAAATAAATAGCAACAATATACTTTAAGAAACAACCACGAATTATTAATGACTCTATACAGTAAAAACTCAACAATAAATAATAACCCAAATCTAGACTTTTATTACTTATTTTAAGTAAACAACAAGGTCGAAATGCGCCACCCGCTCAATTTTCCCCCCACAACGACCGCATGGTGACCATCACTACCATTACCATTACCATTAGATTCATCACCATTACCACACCTCAAATCCGAACCCAAGTCCCAGGCCATCAAAAACTCCATTCCGGGGGTTACAGGCGGTGCAATCCAAATGCCAAACAAGAAATCAAGGCAAAAACGAATAAAATGAATAAAAGCCAGCGGAAAAACAAGAGCCAAATACAAAGAATAAACAAAAGGGGAACCCGAACCCTTCATTCCCCGGAAAACTCGCTGGTTAACCAACAATTGCAGGGCAAGAAGCATCTGAGCACACATGTGCCACCAAATTATTCACACCTCCTCTGCATTCTCTACCCCAAAGTACTCCCCAAACTGAATCACGCCCACTCGAGACACACCCCCTATAATTTTACCTCTCCACCTTGCTTTTTCGCTCCACCACCAACTCCAATTTCAACTCTGAACACTGAACACCGCATTATTATTTTAATTACACACAAAAAACAACTCAACATCATCCACACAAGCACAGATATATTATATCAACAGATTGTGTCAAAATACTAAGAGTAATAGAGTTGTAATTTGTTATAACATAAGGGATATTTTTACAAAAGTAAAGGATCGTTTTTTGGATTGGTTGAACAAAGCCGTTAAGCATTAGTATTGAAATACATTTCAATGGTTAACTGAAAACCTAAGATGTTTACCGCTGCTGTTTATAATATATATACATATCTGTGCGCGAACACGACTTTGGAACTGAAGCTGGGAGTTTTCGGACTCGGACTTTGAAGCGAAGTTGGCAAAGTGCACTCGACGACAAAAAAGTGCGACACAAATGCGCCCCAAAAACGATGGAGTTTCCAACAAGGAGCAGAGGAGCAGGAGGGAAAAGGGGGTGGTGATGCAGAGGTATAACCTCTGCAAGGGGAAAATGCAACAGCAGCAGCACACGTGTTGCACAGATGTGGCAACAACATAAGTTGGCGACTGGCAAACAATTACTCGAGCCTTTTTTTTTTTTTGGTGAAAAGTCGAGGGGATGCGGTTGAAGTACAAAATATATTATTTAATTTTATAATGTTTTTTGCTGTTGATTAAATGATTAACATGAAATGGTGATTTATATTATCAGGATAAAATAATTTATTAATATTAATTAACAAGATACCTTAGTTCGCTTAAATTTATGACAGAACCCCTAAAAATCCTATTATGTATAATTATTATGATATTACGTTCGATATTTATTAATGTTTGGAGTTGTGGCACCTCACAAGGTATTTGGCTTGCGCTTTGGTTCTGATTCTCATAACAACAGATCCATAGTTAACTAGAGGCACCCAGAAACCGGATGACAAGAGGAGAAAACCCCGCTTGGCAACGCAGTAAAAACCAACTGACGTGACAAAAAGATAGTGGTAACGATTCAAGACTTCGGACGGTGGCAGAAATAAAGCATTTTCCTTTCGCTCGCTGATTTATTGTAAACTCCGCCTATTATTATTCTCTTTCTTTTCATCGTTTTACATTTTTTTTGGGATGTTTAATTTTCGTGGCATATTATTGTGTGTTTCTCAGTACTTTACTTTTCTAGACTTGCCTCAATTGTCTGGCATTGCACAGTTTTTTTTCTTATTTTTCCCGCCCCTTGTGGGCCTCTTGGCTTTTAAAAATTTTATATTTAGCCGTTGTGTCTGATTCTTCGTTCTCCGACTTCTTCAAGAAAAGCGGCAAAAAAACAAGAAACCTCAAAAAATCAGAAACTGCGAAAATTAACCAGAGGCAAGCATTTCGTGTGGCACGATGTGAGAAATGCTAGGGATCCGCTTCCAATTTATATATAGAATTGCAACAATGCGAACATGGCTCCCCGAAGAGGTAAACAAGCAGTCAAATAAGCCAAAGACTTTAACATAGTCGACATCGTTTGAAACAGCCCGTATATCGATAAATAACAAAAAATCTATTATAATATATTATATTGTTATTAAAAATATTAAATTATAAAATATAAAAAAATTACTCTGTGGGTAATATAATAATATTTACTCTTAAAGACAAGTTTTTTGTGTTTAATGGACGAAAAAAAAAATTAAAATTAATTGACTTCGTTTTCCCGAACTGATTATAACTTTAGAAATATTGATTGAATAAGATATATATATTTGTAGTTAAATATATAATATTAATAAATTATGAAGCTCCCTTTGATTCAGTTGGGACTTCATTATTCTATTAGTCTGGAAACCTTAACGAGGGGAAAGTGCGAATTCCACGATGCCTAGGGGATCTACTTACTCTCTCCGCTGGCAAATCAAAACAATATACACACACGAGCCCGTCGTTGATCGACAAAAATTAAACAGAAAACAAAAAACAGAAAACAAATACAAGCTGGGATGTACTTTTGATTTGATTTGATTACATTCCAGCCCTCCACACCCATGCCAATTTTGGATTGATGTCTTTTTAAGAGCGAAACGATTGCAAGCAGATTTATTGGATTCATTTTTTTCGGTTGGAGTTCGCTACTTGATATGCTTGTTAACGGTGGCGGCATCTGTCGTTAATGAGCTCCAATGTACCCCCAATTTCATTCAGGCATCTCGTATTTCAGCGCAAAAAGTTCGTGACTTTTTAGTTTTTTAAGCGGCAAATAGGGGGATTCATGTCATATCCGCATAATGAATTTGCATTTTAGCTCCAATTTCGCAGATCCGCGTTATTCGAGGTGAGTTACTTGCAATAGCGAGAAGAAAAAGGGCCGATCGAAAAGCGTAAAAAACTGTGTTTGCAGACTCATCCAATTTGATCGATTTGAAAACAATACATCATATCGTTAGTCTTTTATTTATCAGCAAAATAATTTCAATCATACATATAACATAAAAAAAAAGCTCATAAATGGGACCCACAAATAAAGTTAAATAATCACCGATAGAGTGCCATCGGTAAATAAAAAATGGATTAGGGGAATGGTTAAATCAATAAACAAATACCACTCACACCACACCCACTCCTTTTGCCCTGACAAAAGGAAAAGGAAAACAGAGACAAGTCAATAAAAGTATCATCATCAAGAGAGGTGTTCGAGCAAAGTTCTAATCAAAATATTGAACGTTGTTCACACAAAAAAAAAAACCAAAAAAATTGAATGCAAAATTTCAAAATAAGAGAAAATCGTATAAAAGAAGCAGAGTGAAAGGATAGCCAAAAAGCAAAGCGAATCATACTAACACAAAAAAAAAAACCAACTAAATTTGTGAAACCGTTATTATCATGTCGTGCTCTCTGTCTTTTGTCTCTGTCTCTTGACCATGTCGATTATTAAAGATACATTTTGTTTCTCTTTCAGTGCTTTTTGGTAGCTACGTTTTGGCAATTTGTTTGTATCCAAATCCATCGTTTTAAGATTTTGTAGTTTTTACACACTTTTCTTACTTTTTTGGTTCGGTGTTTCGATTCGTTTGCGTTAATCCAATTTGTTGTTGCTGTTCGCTCTTGGTTGTTATTGACTGATGCATCCATATGCGGGTGCTAATTTAATTAACGACATTTAACGAGGCTCCTCACTGTTATCGGTATTTTAGCACAATTACTAATCGAGGGAAATAAAATTTTTAAGTGAAACCGAACATTATTTAGCTATTAAAAATGTAAACCTAAATAAAGAGTAATCTTTAAGTGAATAATAAAAATATTTCATGATGAACTTTAATTTTAATTCTGATAAACTGATGTTTTCAATGGTGCAATAAGTTAAAACAAAACGATTGTACGCAAACTAAGGTATTGTATAACATCTATGATTTAGAGATTGGCTGTTTAGCTGCTCCTAAGACATATTAAATTAATAAGAAATGAAGGGGAACGCTCGGTTTAAAGTTGAGATATTGTAAAAAACTGGTCAAAAACGAGAGCGAAAGGCAGAAAGAAAACTGGATTAAAACTAAGTGCAATGATAACAGCAATAGTTTTTTTTTTATTTTCATATTTTCTTCACGGTGCCCCAAGCTCATTTATGTACCTACTTATCATACTACCTCATTTCCCATCCATTTCTTTAGCTTTTTTCACATTATGGCAGAAGTTTTTATGGTTTAAAGACACATTTAACGATTGGAAATCACTCGCACTTAATTTCTGATTTTTTTTACCCTCTTTTCTAAACTTTTTTCTCTAAATAACCCAAGAAATGGATTAGTAGAGCAGCATAGGAAGTGAACAAAAACTATGAAGATGACAAGAGACTATTTTATACATACATATGTTTTGTAACTTTCGATTTTACACCTACAGAAGGAGAAAAACGGCATCAATAAAGAGAGAGCAAGTGTAAAATGCGATCAGAAAAAGAATAAAGGCTGGTAAGAAATGGCGCACTAGAAATGTTTATAACTTCTCGAGGCGTCATCAAATATACTATATCAGCAATTCAATTTTAAAATTAGTTTGCCATATTTTTCCCTTAATTTTTTGAAAGAAACATAAACGTTACCCTCTTTTTTTAATTGAATGCGAGGAAAGTGGTTGCGCCTGCGCTATCTTGGTCAGAACCATTTTGACATACGGCAAAAGAGAACATTTTACTCACCTTCTCCTTTTTCTCTTTTTTTTTTTTGTTTCGAAAGAAAGAGAGAGAGCTGCCTGCAATGATCCTCCTCTCTCCTGGCTTTCCAGTGCGTGTGCGCGACAACTACAACAAATTAAATGCTGAAAGCCTGCTGCTTCATCTTCCTCTGTTTCTCTTTCGATGCTGCTTCTTATTAAGTTGTTGTTGCTGGAAATCCGGTTTTTTTTTTTTAAATTTCTTTCAGCTTGTTATATCTATTTTCATATTTGCGTCTCCTTCTGTTTTGTTATTATATTTTTCAAAATTAAGTAAAACAGCACACTTCCACTTGAAAAAAATGAAATATTTTGAAAATACAATTGCAAACGGATTATTTTTTTTTGCTTGATTTAATCGATCAGTGTGTTAAAAAAATCAACAACACATATTCACATAAACACATGCCCGCGCAAATGAAAGGGCGATAATAAACACGTGAGAACTAAGAAGCCTTACACTTTCATCCTTTTTTGTCCTTTACGCGTAGCTAATATTAGTACTTGCCGGTCACAAAAAAATTTAAAACGATTCAAATTAATTAACATTGAGAATCGGCAAAAACAACCGCAAATCTCGAATCGTAGTACGCAAACGTGGAGCGACGCACAACCGTCCGCGTTGAAAAATTTTTCCGACTGAATTTAGCCGTGTTATTGGAGTCATACCACCGGTTTTCTTGGGCTGCCATCGAACACGCAACCTCAAAAAACTGCTTGGAGCCCCGACACAATGTTCGCTTCGAACAACTGCGCTAACAGAGTTTAACGACTAGCTGCTTTTCGATGGCTTCAAAACACAGGGAAAATGTGTTAGATTTAGTATTGTATACTAGATTTGATTTTGTTAAATAAATATTTTTTAATAAATACAATCCTTAAACTTTATAAAATCTACAAAGAACAAGAGACTCAAGACTATTTTTTTTTTCGTTTTAATGTTAATTTTAAGTACTGATGTTTAATTAGTGTTAAAAAAGAGCAGATCAAAATTAGTACATATATGTATTTATATGTTACTGGTCGTAGACGTACAGATCATAATAATAAAAGTAATATGCAGGTTATCTATTAAAACGACCAGTTATAGCTAAATGCTCGATGGCTGAAGTGCCATCCCTAATTCCTGACCCGTTCAAGCAGTTTGTTGTTGCTCGCCACTTTGACGGGTTCGAAACGCCATCGAACCCGGTGCGAAGCAACTCCTACGCGTGCGCAGCTGTTCGCAAGCGCAACAGTTTAATTATAATTGGGTGCTTCAAACCTTCAAGCGGTCGAACAAGTTCGCTTCTATGGAAATCTATGGTTAGTTAACATTTAACATTGGCCTTATGAACATATATTAATATTGTAAAGATACAAGTAACTAGACGTTATATCTAACTCCTCGCAATATCTATTATTATTTATTCATTATCAACCTGTATACTTCGCTGTATCTCCTTATCAACTGAGCGACAGCAATGGCGAACAGCTCAAAGGCTGGGCAGGAGAACTATAGAGACTTGTATATTATTAAGATATTTTTATTTTTCCCCCAAACTCTATATTTAAAAACATATTATCAACGCGCAAATCTTCCTCCAATAAATAAAAGGAACACTGCTAAAGAACTTGCATTTTTTGTATAATGCTGTATTTACATATAAATATTAATATTGGTATGATACAATTCAACTTGTTTTCTTGGATTAAGACAATCAAAACTATTACATTTAAAGATTTGAATGCACACCAGCAAGAGTATATAAACACCTTAACGTGGGTTTTTTTTTTTTTTTTTTTTGCCGTGTGCACTTGACTTTCAGCCACTACGCATACTCGTTTCCATGAATGTTGCGTAATTAAACGCGCATTGCATCCCAATTGGCGTTTCAATTTGAATGCGGATAAGCGAGGCAAAAACACTATTTGCTTACCTTGAAGGGGCAACTCCAACCCCCGGCGACCAAGGTCAAGGTCACTGGCCAGTGGCCATACACCAAAAATGTGTGTTCGTTTTGCGTTTAGCGATCTTTGCTTCACTCGTGTTTGGACCAGCTCTTTATTTACACTTTAAAGTATTTTCGAAGTGCCATCGAATTCAGTGCGCTATTTATTTCTCACATATTCGTTGCACTCTGGGAAGCTTCATTAATGCTTCACATCAGTTTCGAAATGGTGTCTTGCCCCATTTTACCCACAAACCTTAAGCCGTCTTTTAATCATCTATGACTGTTTTGCTTGGAAGCGTGTGGAACGGGAAAAAGAGTTAATTTCGACCAAAAAAAAAATGATTTCCGCAAAAACAACAGCAACAGTTTCGAATACACAAAAATAGAATATCCGTAAGATAAAAAGCTATAAGAAAGACGCGTTGAAGAATAATATGCAACCATTTTAAGAACTCAAGGAATATATAATAACTGCAAATGTATATGTGCTTAAATCGTAGAAAATCAAAACAAGAAAACCAGAAGAAATTTGCGTTGATCTTTATTCTCAAAAAATGACTCGTGTTTGACCACTGTGCTCATAAGAAAATCACGTTAATCACTTGCCGAGTGCTAAGCAAGTGCACCGAGGCGTGGCAGTGATGGCAGGAAAAGGTGGTTCAAAAACGATGGAAGGGGAGAAAAGGAAAAGCGCTGCCCACTACGATGATTTCCCCCGTCGAAGCGCAAGATTTGAAGGAGAAAAGAGCGAAAGTGTCTGGGCATTGTTTGCACTTTTGCTTTCGGCGTAGATGGTAAAGAAATCTCATCGGCGAACGGTTACGAAACTTTGAAGGAAATTCCCTGGAAAGAATTCGTTCTATGTTTTTTTTTTTTTGGGCAGGATGCACAATTAGGAAGCTCAATAAGAGCACTGCTTAGACTGTCAATTACCTTTGTGATGCCTGTGCATCTCACTCCTCCTTTTAATCCTTATCTGCACTTGGCCAGCCTTTTATTGACAGTTATATAATTACTTTAATGATAGTTTCGGCTTGACTTGACTTGTGGTAGAAAATAAAGACAAAAAATATGGGGAAAATCGTGTGAACACTTCAATGGCAGAGGAGGAAAGGCATGAGGTCCATTGTCTTTGTTTGTGCGCGCTTAAAATGCAATTATGCATTTCAGGACGAAAAGTAGCAGCGGTCTTTTCGCTGGCTGGCTGAAAGGAAATTTAATTGAAATGCGTTGGCAAATCGAATTAAACTGTGTAAAAAGAACAACAACTAGCAGTACCCAAAACAGAAATAAAAAAAAAAAAACCAAAAACAAAAGAGAAATTTCAAAAACAACAACCTCTCCCTTGCGGCAACGCCATTCAATTGAATATATTAATGCAAATTAAACCATTAATGTCTGCCAATTTCAGGCAGCGAAGGGGCGGCTTAATATATGAAGTGGGGTGGAAGAAATAAACTGGCAATTATCCCAAAGGAATTTACGGTGAGAAAATTAAAGTTATCCAGGAATAAAGGAAGTGCATTATGTGCCTCGTATTAAATATTAATTCAATGAATAGGCTTTAGGCTTTGTATTTAAAAAACAGTTACCTTAACAGAGGCATAAGTACTCCGAAATTTTTTGAAAAATCATTTATAGAATTATGCCTCCTAAAGTCTTGGCATTATGTCTACAATTATTCAATTAAAAATTCGCATCCACAACGACATGAAAACAATTTTCCACCGCCCACTGGCGCCACCCATTTCCTTTTGCTGAGGAAATTCAATGGAGCTTTAAAAGGGGCGGCAGACTTACTACTAGGCGTGGCTGACAACAATGTTGGCAGCTGCATGGAAAACTTCAAAAACTTTTTAAGTGACTTCTAATAGCGAATTATGATGCAGCCGGCGGAGAGGATCAGACAAGGGTAAAGGGGCGCGAAAAATGGGCCAAAAAGCCGGCCAATTTAAATGCGCTGTGGATGGGCAAAAATGGGCGGGGAAAATAAAGGAGCTGCGGCGAAAAGTTCACGCTTAAAACTTGACAACGATAACTTCATTGAGGACTTTGAGGGCGCCGCAAGGAAGCGGGGCAACCGAGGAGGGGGAAGTCACACACATGCCTCAGCGATAGAAAGGGACGACGATGCACTTCCCTAAGACCGGAAGTGAGAGAGAAATTTTAACAAAGTTAGTTAGTTTCTTCCTTCCTTCTAGACTTCCGTCCTGTTCTGCTTGATTCTCACATACACCTAAAGAAAACTCAGGAAAAAAACTCACAAATTATAGATTTTCATCTAAACAATTGTTTTATTATTAAATTCTACATATGAGTTTTAAAAATATATTGCCTATTTTTAAAAAAAAGAAAACTCAGAAAAAAAAAACTCACAAATTATAGATTTTCAGCTAAACAAATGTTTTATCTTTAAATTCTACATATGAGTTTTTAAAATATATTGCCTATTTTTAAAATAAGGTTTCATTTCATATATCTTCAAGCGATCATTTAGTTTTAACTTTGTAATTCTTTCAGCGCTAAAGTCCTGGGTTTGGCTTGATATAATGACAAAGTGCACTCTGGCATTATTATCATCATCAGTGAACGCATGTCGCCTTCTAGCTTCCCAACCCTGAATTCGTAGACCCCAAAAAGTTGCTCGTTTTAATGAATTATGCGTACATTGATAATAATTTCCTGCTCCTGCGTCTACTGTCATCATCTGGCTTCTTTCGCAAAGTTGTGGGTTGTTTTTTTCTTTTTTTTTTGGCAACAACCTGGGGAGTAACTATGCCCCGCCCACCTCCTAACCACCTTGAAGCCTTGAGGCAGAGCGGCGTGTTGCTGTCTGCACTAATATAAAAGTTTTGTGCACTTTTAATAAGGCTGCGTTTATGACGACAGCGGCAGAAAAACAACAAAAAAAAACTAAAAACTGCAAGGATGCAGCGAAGAATGGGCGAACAGTTTCTGGGACGAGTTATGATATTTCACTTTTCTTGCATAAACTGCATGTGACGAGGACAAGTGTCAAAAAGTCGACGGCAGACTTGAAAAGGTATTTGGGTTGAAAAAAAAGTAACAAAATAAAACAGAGAACAAAAAGTTAAAAGGCTCTCACAGCAGAAATGAACACATTAAAAGATAAATTCAATCTAAGCAGGAAGTTGAGGGTAGGCTAACTAAATTCCTTTCCGTAATAAACTAAATCGGTTGTTTGTAATACAAATAAAACAAGAAAGGAAGATAGCTACTGAAATTTAAATACCCTTTGATAATAATAAAAAAAATATATAAATATTTTTAATACTTTCAAACAAATGAAATTTTGTGGAATTTTCCCACCTCAACCAATATTCTGGAAATTTGTAGACTTTCTTGGGTGAAATCTGCCTTAAATTTGCAACTCCTTTCCTTACCGCCACTCTCCGCCTAATTGAGTTGTTTGCTTTGGTTGTTGGGTTTAATAGCATTACATTTGCCTCAAAGGGCAGTGGGCAGAGCCCCTCCCACTGCAGCGGAGCCTGCTGCATATGGACGACAGATGTGGTGGCCACAAACAGAATACCAATGTCATTTACAGCAGAGCCCGAAGTGGAATCAGTCATTGGTATTTTAATAGATCTTAATGGGCATTTTAATTGCCGGGCAAGGCCACAACACACAAGTGGGTTGCAGAAAGTGGGTGGTGGTGGCGCCAGAGGGAGA